GAAATGGAGCAGTTGGGACTTGAACCTGCGCCTATATGGGATGCTGATGTTTCAGATGGTAACTTAATCTGCTTTGCCCAAATACTGGGTCCGGAGCTCTAGGTTCTGGATTTGACTTTGAGGGGGATTTCATAGTGGCAAAAGAGCAGAAGATGGCCCAAGTATGTGGGCCCCTGCCACTCCCCTGAGAGACCCAGATGGAGTTCCGGGCTCCTGGCTTCTGCCTGCTCCAGCCCTGGCTGTTGTGCCCATTTGGCAAACAAACCAATGGAATGAAGATATGGGTCACTAAATTCTCCCTTTCAAATATAATTACTATTTAAAATATGTATTTTTTTTTTTAAAAAATTCAGCTGTAAGTTGGTGAATAGCAGATAGTATTTTTTTTTTCTTCAGCCGGAGTAGGGCCTGGTTGGGGGGCAAGGGCCACATCTCTGACCCAATTGTGAACATTTGATAGTCATTTACTGAAGGGAGGCATAGTCTAATAAGAGGACTATTTTGGGGGGCTTTTTCTGGGAAGTAGAAGATATTCCCCCCACAAGATCTAGCCACTAAAAAAAAAAAAATGACTTATTTGAAAGACAGGGCTTGAGGGAGAGAGAGATTTTCCACATTTTGGCCCATTCCCCAAATGCCTGAAGCCAGGAAGTAGGAGCTTCGTCCAGGTCTCAAGGCCCCAGCACGTGGACCGTCCTCCACTGCATCAGCAGGGCCCTGGATCAGAAGTGGTGCAGTTGGGACTCAAACTGACACGTGCACTTCTGCTTCTTGGGTTATCTGATGTTCCCCATCCTGGCGGCTGGCAGGTGTTAGCGTGTCGCAGCATTGCAATGAGCTGTAAGTGAATGCAGGCCAGCCTTGGTCCCCTTACCTGACGTGAGCCTGGCCCAGGTGGAAGGCCTGCTCATCCTCAGACCCAGAGGCCCCAAATCCACGACCTGTAGGCTCAGCTGCAACCTCTGCCTCCCTCCAGAGCCTGGGGTGATGCTGGACCCGGCAGGTGCGTGGGCCTGGATGGTTTGGCATGGCAGATGAAGGCACCCCTGCTGGGGATGCCACAGTCCACACTGGAGCGGCAGCTCATCGTCAAACTCCGCAGCTGCCCGTGTGGCTCCCCGCTAATGTGCCTGGCGAGCAGCAGGTGGTCCAATGGCTTGGGTTCCATGCTCCTCCTGTGGGAGACCCAGGAGGGACTCCTTGGGTCTCAGCTTTGAGCTGAGGAGGCCAAGCTGTGGAGGCCACTTGCGGGGTGAACAAGGACTCTGCGTTTCAAATAAATAGATAACATACTATCAAAGAAATGAATGTTGGTGGCAAGGGCTGGTTCCTTGGGGTCTTGTACTAGAGGAACCCCTAGCTTGATATTTGGGGGTTCGATAGAAAGGGAGGTTAACAGTGCCAAGTCCAGGAGTCAGAAAGAGGGTCTGTTTATTCACACAGGCACTCAACCCCCATAAGAACCTACCAGGTACCAGGTACCAGCTCAGACAAGTGACTCCCACCCAGGACAAAGCCTGGGGATGAATGGGAAGCGATGGCACAAGCAGGAGGCCCCCCAACGTGGGGAGGTTCCTCCTCCCGCAGCTGGGAATCCTGCAGCGAGAAGTTGGTGACTTGGGAGTGACAGAGGCCCAGTGGGCAGGGCTGTGGTCTCCATGGCACCAGCCTGGTAGTGAGGCTGGGTACAAATGCTGGGGGGCTGCTCACACCTTGGGGGTAGCTTCCCCGGGAACAGGAAGGAAAGAGCCAGAGGCTGTGTGTGTGTGTGTACATGGATGTGTGCACATCCTGTCAAGTTCCCACTGTACCAGGGCCCAGGCCTCCAGGTGACTGGCTGCCAATGGCCTTGGGCTTCTGTCTGCCCTCGGGATACGGAGCTCAGGACCCTGGTGTCAGCATCAGCAAGGTGGAGCCCACCCTACAAGAGGCTGGGTGACCCCAGAGAGCCCCCCCCCTTGGTGGGGGAACCCATTAGGTTCTCCTGCCTGGATAGGACAGCAGCTCCAAGCAGACACAGGCAAAGTCAGAGTAGAGAGGGCCTGGATGGCCATTCCCAAAGCGGGAGAAAAGTCTGGAAGGTGTGGGAACTAGAATCAGCCGGCTTGTGAAGGCAGTAACTGGAACGCTGGTCCCAAGGCACACAGCGGGCTGGGCGTGGCCTCCAGGACTCACTGGTCTCCAAGGCAGCCTTGGCCGCTGAGGGGAGGCCCCGATTCTAGAGCCTGGCAGGCCTGTGTTCTGTTCTACTGCGCTCTATGTAAACCTGTATGGCCTCCTGTCAGCTGCTTGCCTCTTTGCCTCTGCTGCTGCTGTTTTTTTTTTTTTTTTAATGTATTTATTTTTATTGGAAAGGCAGATTTACAGAGAGGAGAGATAGAAAGATCTTCCACCTGCTGGTCCAACAAATGGTCACAACAACCAGAGCTGGGCTGAGCTGATCTGAAGCTGGGAGCCAGGAGCCTCTTCTGTTTCCCACGCGGGTGCAGGGTCCCAAGGCTTTGGGCCATCCTCGACTGCCTTTCCAGGTCACAAGCAGGGAGCTGGATGGAAAGCGGAACAGCTGGGACATGAACCAGCATCCATATGGGATGCCAGTGCTTGCAAGTGGAGGATTAGCCAGCTGAATCATGCCCTTCCCTCCCCATCACGCTTACTTATTACATATTTATTTGAAAGACAGGGTTACAGAGGTGAGTCAAGAGTGCTGGTTCACTACCCCAAACGGTCCCAATTGTCGAAGCCTGGCCAGGCCCCAGCCATGAGCCTGGACCTCCACCGTCTCACACACAGATGGCAAAGGCCCCAGTTCTTGGCCATTCTTTGCTGCCTACCAGGCACAATTAGCGGGACAGGATCTTCAGCTGAGCAGCTGGACTTGAACCTGTGGCCTGTCATGGGCTGCCCACGATCCCAGTGGTGGCTGAAGTTACTTTACAGCAAAACCAGCCCCAGTTCACTTTTTTTTTTTTTTAAAGTTTATTTAAAGGCAGATCAGAGAGAAAACAGACAGAAGAAAAAAACTTCTGTCAGCTGGTTCTTTCTCTGAATGCTAACAACAGCTGAGGCTGGAGCAGGCCGCAGCCACGAACCAAAGTGCAAGTCTCCCATATGGGTGAACTCGAATTCCTGGACCAGCTTCTTTTACCTCCCAGGTGCAGGTGGGCAGGAGGCTGGATTGGGAGTGGAGGTGATGCAGGGCACCCCATATGGGATGCAGGCATCCTGAGCAGTGGCTTAACCCACAATGCCACAACCCTTCCATGGTTCGCAGAAACCCAGAATCACCCCCAAAGCGTGCTTTTATGGGGGGAAACAAGTTGCTCAAGGCTGCACAAGGGCTGGTGAACACTCAAAGCCAGGTGCCCCTGCTCACTGTCCATCAGATGCCTTCTGCAGCAACGTGTGCACACGGATCCTACTATGCTTCAGGCCTGCCCTGCTGCTGCCTGAGGAGAGTGTGGCTGGGTGCAAGGCCAGCGCCCCAGCTCTGTCAGGCCCTGGGGGTCTGCTCTGGCCAAGTGACTTCCCCGGGAGGCGGATGCGACCTTCCATATGCAGATGGGCAAAGTGGGATGGCAACTGCCTCTCCTCCACCGGGGCCACATCGACTACACAAAAAAAGGCCACGAGCGCGAAAATCCCTCATTGGCTGCGAGCACCACAGGGCTCAAGCCCACACCTGCACCCCAAAACTTTCTGCCTCCTGTGGTGTCATCCCAGAAGGACGCGGCTCCCCGTCCCTGAGGGGGCCAACAAGGCTTCCCGGAGTCCCCTCACTGACGTGGGCTCCCCGGGTCCCCCTCACCGACGGGGTCCCCCAGTTCTCCCTCACTGACATAAATTCCCGGGGTCCCCCTCACCGATGGGGTCTCCCGGGTCCCCCTCACCGACGGGGTCCCCCAGTTCTCCCCCACTGACATGACTCCCCGGGGTCCCCCTCCCCGACGGGGTCCCCCAGTTCTCCCTCACTGACATGACTCCCCGGGGTCCCCCTCCCTGGCGGGGTCCCCCAGTTCTCCCTCACTGACATGACTCCCCGGGGTCCCCCTCCCCGGCGGGGTCCCCCAGTTCTCCCTCACTGACATGACTCCCCGGGGTCCCCCTCCCCGGCGGGGCCCCCCTCACCCACCCGGGCCGACGCCCACGGTCCCCGCCCCCGGCGCCTCCCTCCGCCGCGCACGCGCCCGCGCCCTCACCGCCGCCGCCTCCGGGACGTGACTCGCGGAACGTCCGCTCCCGGCGGCGGCGGAGGCCTGGACGACGACGCGTGTCCAGCTGCTTTGGCCTGTGCTCTGTGCGTTCGCGCCCGGGGCCTGCGCGCTCCCGGACGCACGTTCTGAGAAGTTTCCGTTGGTTTCAGAAGTTTCCTTGGGTATCCCGAGGACTTTCCAGAGGCGCGGGGGGTCAGGCACTTGCTTAGCCACCCATCCACTCTTTTAGGGGTCCTCGCCTCCCTCCCCGCCGCTGGCCTAGTAGTGATGGACGCAGTAGCCAAGGAGACCTGCCTGATGGACAGGCGCGGCTCCCAACCGGCTCCTGCGCACGTCAGTGCAGCCCCGCCCCGCGCGCGGAGGGCGGCCCAATGAGAGAAGCGGAAAGGCCAGAAGGGGGCGGTGGCGGCGGCCCCCGGGTGCCGTGACCCCGGCGGGGGGGGCCGTCTGCGGCGTGGCTCCCTCCGTCTGCGCCTGCGCGGGCCCCGGCGCGGGCCGGCCCGCTGGCGGGCGCATGCGCAGCGCGCGCGGCACCGCGGGGGGCCGGCCGCTGTGCGCCTGCGCGCCGACGGGCCCGCTCCGGAGCGGCGCCGGCGGACGTCGGGGCGAGCGGCCCCCGTGACGTCGTCGTGGTGAAGAGCGCTTTAAAGTGCGGCCCGGGCGGGGCGTCCGAGGGTCGGCCGGCGGAGTCGAGGCGGGCGTCCGCGGCATGCCCCGTGGCCCGCGTCCTCCCCGCCTTCCGGTCACGCATGGAGGCCCGGCGCTGAGCGAGCGCGCCCTCCCCGCCGCCGCCGCCTGCACTAGCGCCATGCCCGGCCGCCCCGGCCTGCCCGGGGGAGCCTAAGGGGTCGCGTCGCGGCGGGGCGAGCGGGAGCAGGAGGAGGAGGAGGGAGCAGCAGCAGCAGCAGCAGCAGCAGCAGCGGGCGGGCTGGCCATGGCGGCCGCCGGCGGCTACACGGACCTGCGCGAGAAGCTCAAGTCCATGACTTCCCGGGACGGCGCCAAGGCGGGCGGCCGGGACGCCGCGGCCGCCGCTGCAGCCGCCGCCGCCGCCGCTGCTGTGGCCGCCGCCGCCGCCGCCGCGGCCGCCGGGGCCAACCACCACCACCACCACCACCACCACCACCACCACCATCACAGCAACAACAGCAACAGCAACAAGCGCAAGTACGCCGAGGACTCGGACGCCGAGCGCAGCGACTACGAGGAGCAGCAGCTGCACAAGGAGGAGGAGGCGCGCCGGGTCAAGAGCGGCATCCGGCAGATGCGCCTCTTCAGCCAGGACGAGTGCGCCAAGATCGAGGCCCGCATCGACGAGGTGGTGTCCCGCGCCGAGAAGGGGCTCTACAACGAGCACACGGTGGACCGGGCCCCGCTGCGCAACAAGTACTTTTTCGGCGAGGGTTACACGTACGGCGCGCAGCTGCAGAAGCGCGGGCCGGGCCAGGAGCGCCTCTACCCGCCGGGCGACGTGGACGAGATCCCCGAGTGGGTGCACCAGCTGGTCATCCAGAAGCTCGTGGAGCACCGCGTCATCCCCGAGGGCTTCGTCAACAGCGCCGTCATCAACGACTACCAGCCGGGCGGCTGCATCGTCTCGCACGTGGACCCCATCCACATCTTCGAGCGCCCCATCGTGTCCGTGTCCTTCTTCAGCGACTCGGCGCTCTGCTTCGGCTGCAAGTTTCAGTTCAAGCCCATCCGGGTGTCGGAGCCCGTGCTGTCCCTGCCCGTGCGCAGGGGGAGCGTCACGGTGCTCAGGTAACCGGAGGAGGAGGAGGAGGAGGAGGGGCTGCGCGTGGCCAGGGGCAGCCGGGACCACCGCCCGCAGGAGGGGCACGGGGGTGTGTGCCTGCATGCCCTGCTCTCTTGCTTCCTCCGGGCAGCCAGGAGCTGCGGGCGCCGGCTGCAGGTGGCTTCCTAGAAAGCTGTCGCTGGTGTGCGCCTCCCTTGCAATCTGGTTTTTTTTTATTTTCCGTTCTGAGCTTCCCCTTCCAGATCTGTGCTTTAAAGGAAGACCAAGATATGTTTCTGGTCCCCCAGGGTTCCCCCTTCTTCCATTCTAAGGGAGCAAGCGGTGTGGTGGACTGGGGGGGGAGCCCAGCACCCCTCCGCAGGCCCCCTTACCGTGGCTCTGCTGAAGTGCTACCTGTTGGCAGGATGGGAGAGCGGGCCGTGCAGCGGGCCACTTGGCACAGATGGCGGGAGCGGCAGCCCGTTTGCTGTCCCGCGGCCACCCGGGCAGGACAGCCGGAACCCCTGTGCTGTGGCAGAGAAAAGGACACCGCCTGCCACGGGCCCCCTAACCTCGGCCAGCTCCCACACCTCCTGGGAGGCGGGTCGCCCTAGCTGACCACTGCCAGGAGTCGTCGCCTGGGGCCCCGGGCCCTCGGTGTCCACATGGACTGCCGCGGCACTGATGGCAGAGCCACTTAGCGTGGCGTTTCTGGGACAGACGGTCCCAGGGCCGGCCGTGACTGTCGAGGGGCCATCGGGGTGTGCGTGCTGGCCGCGGAGGAGTCCTTTGCCCAGTGGTGTGTCTTCAGAGCCCGGAGCGTCGAGTGACCCTCCTGGCCCTCAGTCCCAGGTCCTGATGGGTGGCATGTCTGATGGGCATCGGCAGGCAGGAAAGCGCCAGGTTTCCGTGCAGGTCCTGACCGGGCCACCCCAGGTGGGGACTCCGGCTCCTGTCTGCTTTGGGATCCTGGGGCCGTTCTTTTGCCGCTGGGCTTCCCGCCCGTGGAGCGGGGCTCATGCCAGCTTCCGAAGCCTGTTAGAGCGGGCTGGGGGAATTGAATGTCTTACACAGGGCTTGCCTCCCTCCACACCCACCTAGCACTCCTGGGGCGTCCATCCCGAGCTGCTGAGGGAGGCTCCCCATTGGGCCTCGTCAGCAGTGCTGCTGTGGGCTTTGGGGGCTCAGCTTCCTTGTTGGGGGGCACTGTCCCGGCTTGCTAACATTCCTGGCCTCCGGCCCCCTAGGAGCCCAGGTGTGTGCTGACATTGCTGTGTATCAAGCCGTATCATTCCGCTTGGGAGTTGCTGATCTGGGATTCTAGAAACCCCCAGCTAACTCTCACAGCACCTGCTTGCTCCCTGGGCAGGTGGGTTGACACCTGCTTGTTAGGCGTGCCTCGGGTCAAGTCCTGCCGGTCACCTGCGCTGCCCTCCTCACTTCCTGCTCTGGGTTCTGACCCCAAGGTGGCCACTCTGTACCTGTCCCAGGCCACACGGCAGGAATGCGGCTGGTGAGGCTGCTGGGGGGCAAGGGTTGACTCGGCAGGGTCTGCCCATCTGTGCGAGCAAGGCCTCCCCGATCCTTCTAGAAGCGCTCTGGGCTCCTTCTCTACCCAGCGGTGCAGCTGGTCCTTTTGTAATCTTCCCGTTGGGGGCCTGGGTGTGTGCCCTCTTCCTGGCATCCTTCAGGGACACTACAGCCTCCTCTCCTGTCTGTCAATCCACCCCAGGTCCTTCTGTTTCCTGTGGGGTGGATTGGGTAGATGAAAGCAGACTCCAGTTGGGCTAATTAGAATAATTACCTCAAGACTAATTGCTTACTTGCAGGCAGCTTTAATCACTGCCGTGTCGTGGTCTGTGGTATGGTGGCCACATGCCTGGAGACCTGGGCCCTGGCCACCCGGCAAGGTAGAACTGCCTGATGGTCGAGCCCTGGAGCCGCGACTCTTTGGGGTTGGGTGGGCTGATCTCATTCAGCTGTTTGAAAGCAAAATTTAGCTTCCTGTCTTAAAATAGTTGGGAAAGTAGGGCAGATAGGTCCTGGGCTGCATCGCTCACGTCCATGGGCCAGGGTAGAGCTGCCTCGTCAGGGGGAGCCCTGGGTTGGGGCATTTGCTGCCCTTGGCACTGCCCGGCCTGCTGGGACGGCTAGGGGCCATGAAGTCAGCCCACGGCAGGCAGTCAGCTTAACTCCTGGTGCCCAGAGCCCTCCGGGGAGACGGGCCGTAAAGCATTGCAGGGTGGCTGGCCACTTGGCTGGGCAGTGGTATGCAGCCATGTCTGGGGGCTGGGGTGTGTCCCCCAGGACAGCTTAGACCTTGTGGTCAGGAAGCACAGGTGGCCTTCTAATCCTCGTTACCTACGCCCCATGCCACAGGAGTTTGCTGGCAGGCTTGGTCACAGCTCAGTGCTCCTACCTTCTTTTCTGGGTCTCAGCATCCCTCAGCTGTGAGACAGGCCAGGGATGCCGGCCTGGAGAAGTTGCAAGGTTGAGAAGTGTCACCACACGTGCTTGAAGTTTACCTGGAAGTGTCAGGAGCTGAGCTGCCCTCCCTGGCTAGCTCCTGGCTGCCTTGGTACCTATGGGGTCGGAGCAGGTGGCCTCTGGGTTCGGTAGAACCAAGGGCGTCTTATCCTGTTAATACTGTGTCTTGTGGGAGGCGTTACCCCTCCCTGCTAAGCCCCCGGGAGGCCTGGGAGGGGTGAGCAGGCTAGAGGAGCTCGGGGTGTTTGCATAGGATGGATAGTCCAGCACCCAGTGTGTGGAGGTGAGTGGGTCTGTAAAGAGATTTGTCATGCAGGGAAGAAAGTTCCTAACAAGGTCGAATGTAGTGGCTGAGCTGTGTTGGGGAAACTCAGCTTGGGGCTGGAGTCTGCTCCCCCAAGAGTCGCTGAGGGGCCAGTGTTGCGGTGTGGGGCACTGGGGAGCTTGGTGCCTTTGAGGCTGGCATCCGGTCTGAGGGCCTGTGAACTCTGCCGTCCAGTGCTCCCTGCTCCTGTGCCGGGGGGAGCAGCGCCCCCACGTGGGAGAGCTGAGTGCAGCGTTAGGGCAATCACTGTAGCCATTTGCTGTAGTGAAAGATCTCTCCCTGTCTCTGTCCCTCTCTATCAAACAAGTAAGGTTTTTATTTTTTTTTTTTAATTACTCTGGGGTATAGACCAGTGGGCAGCACACTTGATGCCTGCAGGATGCTGGGCGTCGTTGCTGGTGGCTGGTGGGGGGACTCGGGCCAGGCAGAGCTGGCCAGCTGGCCAGCACGCGCTGTTTCCTCCTCTGCTTGTCCTGTGACAACAGCAGAGCACTGGAACTTTCCTCCCATCCAAGGGTAGGTCTGAAGCCCGGGTGAAGTCAGCTTCCAGCTGGCAGCTGTTGCTCTTGCAGTGAGTGGGTTCCTTAGCCTTGTGCCGGCTGTCAGCTGCCCACAGCTGGGCCTGGAGAGCCACCCTCCGGCAGGAGCGTGATACTCTGGGGAAGAGTATGCTGTGTCACTGCGGCCAGAGAGTTCGAGAAGATCAGTGCTACTGAGCGTGCAGGTGGGGTCAGTGCCAAGGTCGTCTGGGCCTGCGCAGTCCTCCCTCCGGGGTAGTTCCTCCTGGCAGGAATCTGGCAGGCTTGTTATTTATTCTAGAGCCCTTTGGGGGGCGGGGCCGGAGTATGGAGGCAGGCCTCTGGATTTGCTCCAGAATTGCATTGCAAAAAAGAAGTGGCTCCTTGTTGGAGGTGGGAATTCAGGGCCTTTGGTTGTGCCTGTGGCACAGGCCCACACGCTGATAGCTGTTTGTTAACAGCAGGAAACAGCGTGCCTGGAGCCTGGACCAGCTTCTGCAGGTTCGTGCCTAGAAGATCCGATCAGCCTTTAGGGAGGGGATTGGGATCCTTCTTAAGACTGGGTTTGATCCCAGACTCTCACTCTGCCAAGTGTGAAGTGAGAAGAACTTGAGATGAGATTTAGTACTCCGGGCTCTGGAAATCTGCTGCTGGCCAATCCCAGGGGGGCAGGCCGGATCCTGTTTCCTTAGCAGGTGCTAGACTCAATACCCAGCCTGGGCCCAGGGCTGGGTAAGTGGTAGTGAGGTGCCAAACACGCTGCATTATCTTATTTGTTTGTTTATTTTTTTTAAAAAAAGATTTATTTATTTATTTTATTGGAAAGGCGGATATACAGAGAGGAGAGACAGAGAGGAAGATCTTCCGTCCGATGATTCACTCCCCAAGTGAGCACAACGGCCCATGCTATGCTGATCCGAAGCCAGGAGCCTCTTCTGGGTCATATGGGATCCCGGGCGTGCAAGGCGAGGACCTTAACCACTGCGCCATCGCGAGTGGCCCTATCTTATTTAATTTTAAGATTTATTGTTGTTGGAAAGGCAGATTTACGCAGAAACAGAAAGATCTTCCTTTGGATGGTCCACCCCTGAAGTGGCCACAAGGACCAGAGCTGAGCTGATCCAAAGCCAGGAGTCAGGAGCTTCTCCTGGGTCTCCCACGCGGGTGCAGGGTCCCAAGGCTTTGGGCTTCCCAGGCCACAAGCAGGGAGCTGGATGGGAAATGGAATAGCTGGGACAGGAACCTGGTGCCCTCATAGGATCCCAGCGCGGGCAAGGCAAAGATTCAGCCATTGAGCCCTAGTGCCGGTCTCATTTTGATTTTCATAGTGACCCTGGAGGGAGGCCTCCCACTGAAGCCTCTTCTAGGCTCTGCCCTTTCACATTTTGTCAACTTCGGGTGACGGTGGAGAATATTTAAGTTACAAAGCGTGAGACAACAAATGACCCAGAGTCCTCTGCTGCCCATAGCACAGGTGAGCGCACGGAGGCTGCAGCTCTGTGTGAGTGAACGCGTCCCAGCCCAGAGTCCCAACTCCCTCCTGTGCGACACTTGTCGCCTGGTGGATATGAATAGGTGTTACCTGACAAAAGGCCCTTTAGTTACTGCTTAAATGAGGTCAGCGGGTTCCTCGCTGTGGTAGTCTCAGGGTTTTGCAGTTTCAAGAAGTGTCAGTATTCCGTGTTTTCCCAACGGATTGGACTGTGGGCAGTTGTCTCGAGTCTCCTGTGCGATAAATGTTCAGAGGACACGCTTGAAGAACTCTGGGCTCGGAACATCCTGGTCTGTAGAAACCCCTGAAAGCAGTGTACCCCAAAATCCGAGTTTCATGTGCGAGGTGCTTCCCTCCGGCCCCGCTGCCTTGGTTCTTGGGTCTTCCTGGCTCTGAAGTCCCACTCAGCCCTGTAGCCAGATGGCTGGGCCAAGGCCCCGTCCCAGAGCTGCGCAGGTTTGTGGCCCGGGGCAGTCTAGCGTTCCCAGCAGGTGGATGCCTGCCCTCCGCTCCCACGGGAGGTTTGGGAAGTGCAATGTGCCGCCAGCGTTTCTAATCGGAAAGCCCCTAGCTGAGAAGGGGACAGTCATGTACCCGGAACGTTTGTAATCTTGTCACTTGTGGGGGAAAAAAAGTAGATACTGAGTGTGATGGAAATTCTTGAAATATCCCAAACACAGCTGTTCTGAAATTTTGGATCCCCCTTCCAAATGGAGGCATTCGGAGGACTAATTTCCTTTTGGCACAGGGTAGTCCGAGTTCTCTGCGGCGACTGAGTGCTGCCAGCAGCTGCCCTGGCTTCCCACGTGTGCTGAGGGCTGAGAGGGGAGGAGACACGGCCCTCGCCAGTGCTGGCTTCAGTCGCTGCAGGCCCCAACGCCGCTGAAGTTAGACCTTCTTGGAGTCTTCTGTTATTTTTATTTCATTCAAAAGGAAAGGGGTCTTCCATGCATTGGTTCGTTTCTCGAGTTCCTGGCGGCAGCCAGGGTAGGCCTCAGCCAGGTACCGAGAGCTGCCCTGAGGGCTCCCGTGGGCATGGCAGGGGCCTGGGGCCCCAGCCTTCTGGGGTGTGCACGTTCCAGGAAGCCGGCTTGGAAGTGGAGGAGCTGGGACTCCAGCCAGGCCCTCCAACGTGGGATGTGGGTGGCCCAGGGCGCGGCTGCACCTCTCATGGGCCTCTCCCTGGAGAGGCTCATGGTGTCGGTTGGCTTGTTTGCTGACTGGACAGGCGGAGTGACAGGGCCCTCTGTCAGCTAGCTCTTTCCCCACATGGCCATCATGGCTAGGGCTGGACCAGGCTGCATCCGGGAGCCTGAAACTCCGTCTGGGCTCCCGAGTGGCAGGGCATGTTAGTAGGGACGTGGATAGGAAGTGAAGCAGCTGGGACTTGAACTGGCAGAGTCACTGGCAGCATTTTCACACCCTGTGCCACAGCCTGCTTCTTGACGGGTTCTCGGGATAGTTTCCTGGGGCTTCACGTGGTGTTCCCCCTCTGAGGTACCTGAGCTCCTGGGAGCCCTGCTGGGTCTGCATGGTCATGTGTTGTGTGTTCTTTGCAGTGGGTATGCTGCTGATGAGATCACGCACTGCATACGGCCTCAGGACATCAAGGAACGCCGCGCCGTCATCATCCTCAGGAAGTAAGTGCTGCCCGCTGCCCCGGGGCGCCGACGCAGCAGGGTGGGACCCGGGGTGCCCCAGGGCTGGGTGGGACCTGGGATACCACAAGCCTCAAGTCCTCCTGTTTGCTTTCTCTAAAGGTTAAGCTTCCTTGTCTTTTTCATCGGGAATTCGATTCTTTGGCTGTTTGGGGAGATAAGGACTGAGCAAAAACACATCTTGATACTAATGGACATTCTTGAGATCAAATTTGGGGAGCATTTCCACTTTACCCCCTAGCTTTCCTCACCTCTTTGGCTCTTATTTGCCACTGGTCTCTTGGTGATTATTTTTGGACTGTGCCTTAGCAGCTTGCTTCACAAACACCTGGTGGTTCCCTCCTGGGTGGGCGGCCACAAGCCAGGTCTCCGCAGGCTTGCGGTTGTGCCTGTTCTGCCTGAGGAGGAATTGGAGAGGTCCTTCCTTGGCGAGCAGGCACAGCCACCCAGACATGGCATCCAGCAGATCTTGTTCTGAAGGGACTCTGAAAGAGGACAGGCGGCTTCCGGGGTCACACGGAAGGGCCGAATGATGCCTGGCTTGAGCAGTTGTCAGCGTGTGGTCATTCATCCTATTATTTCAGATCTACTTCATCGGATTTCCATACTTTTCCCTGGTTTCTTTTTCCTAAGGATTTACTTATTTTACTTGGAAATCGGAATTGAGGTAGAGAGGAAAAAGACAACAGAGCTTCCAGCTGCCTGTTCACTGTCCAAGTGGCTGATGCGGCCAGAGCTGGGCTGGTCTGAGGCCAAGAGCCAGGAGCGTCTCCCAGGTCTCCCAGGTGTGTGCAGGGCCCGAAGATCTGGGCCATCCCCCGCTGCTGTTCCGGCGCACGAGCAGGAAGCCAGATCTGAAGAGCAGCCAGGACATGAACTGGCCCCCCACGGGATGCTGGAGCCATAGGTGGAGGATTAGCCTGTTGAGCCTCTGCTGGCTCCCGTCTTACCTGCCTTCCTGTGTCGTCCCCCACATTGCCCGCAGATGTTACGTAGATTCTTGGCTTGCCTTATTCTTAAATTGAGCGATGAAGAGTAACAGGCAAGTCAAGAGCTTCCTCCCACTGGCTCTCTTCCTCAGTTGCCTGCAGCAGAAGGCTTATACCAGGCCAGGGTCGGTTCTCTCGACTGCGTGTGAGTTGGTGGCAGCTCGGTAACTCGAGCCACGCCACTGGCTCCCAGGATCTTGGCCTTAGCAAGAAGGAGGCTGAAGGATCCGACACAGGCCGTGGGGTGTGGGGCAAGCATCCTTACTGTGCAGTAACCACTAGGCCAGACACCTGCACCAGTCCTTCTTACTCTTGACATTGGTTGGAATTCTGGCTAACGATTTTTTTCTCGCATGTAAATGGATTATGGGTTTTAGGAGAGAAACCCAGAGATAAAGTGCCATTTTTGTCACGTACCAGGATACATGCTGTCCCGTGGCTTAGCACTGTTGAGGTTGGTGACCAGGGTAATGAAGCGGTTGTCTGGCTTTTCAACATAAAGTTGGGTTTTCCCCTGTCCACAGTGGGCTTCTGGGAAGAAAGCCGGTCCGCCCAGCCCCACAGTTTAAAAAGGAAAGCTGGCTCTACCTTCCCAAGAGAGGAGTATCCACACAAATGACTTGGAGTTCCTCCTGGGGTGTGTTTATTCTCCCCTTATTTAGCAATTTATGCATCATGGGCATTTATTTTACAAATTTTTCTAGCTGTGGCCACTTTGAGCTCTTCTCAGTTTTTCTGGCTTGACTGCAGCTGGGCTAGGCAGAAGCCAGGAGACTGGAAAGCCTTCAGATTTCCCACATGGACGGCAGACTCGGGCTCGGGCCGTCTTCCCTGCAGGGAGCAGGATCAAAAACAGAACACCAAGAACTCCGAGCTAGTGTTCCAGTGTGGGTTGCAGCGTGACCTGCTGTGCCACCAGACCAGCCCCTTGCCATCTTTTTAACTTGAGTCAGTAACTTGCGCATCCTGGCCCCACAGGAAAGTGGTCTGTGAGTATGAGAGACCTTTGGCATGCCTCTACTGCTTGGTCAAGTCCCAGTTTCCCCGGGAGTCTTGTGACAGTCCTGAGGTAGGGCTGCCCTGGGCATGTGGGACCTCCTGACACCTGACACTTGGCGGTTGGCGGTGCCGTCTTCCAGCCTAAGAACATTCGCAAGCAGACAGAGGAACGGTTTTAATGTCCCTTTGTACTGTGTTTCCCGGTACTTTTCGGCCCTGGCCAAGACCGAGTGAGCATCCGGAGTAGAGCTGCCTTCGGATCTCCAACCCCTGGTCGCTCCGTCTCACTAGCCAGGTCCGTGCAGGCCGGGAGCCCGTCTGGAGCTAGAGTGGCCGTTTCCCAGGAATTCCCTTCCAGCCTCACCGCCACTCAGCCCAGACAAACCTGCTGGAGGTGCAAGTGGGGATGGCACAGCTGTCGTGTCCGTCCTGCCCTGGCCGCTGGGCAGGTGGCCCTCGGCTCGGCGTCTGCACTGGCTGGCGGGATTAGCGGTTGTCATGGAGGCTGCTCAGCCATCTGACCTGACTGGGTGCAGCACCCTCCCACTGCTCTCTAGCATGCCCACGTGGCATGGCGTGGCGCAGCCCAAGCATCTGGTGTGAACTTGTCGTATCTTCTACTCTTCATTTTATTTAAAAAAATTTTTTTTAAACATTTTATTATTATTATCATTTTATGATACAGTTCCATAGGCTCCTGGCATTTCCCTTACCCGCTCCCCAATTCCCTCCTCCCCCACCTAGTTCCTCTATATCATTACTAAAATATAGTTCTTCCTACACAGTCATATGTCCATCATTGTGGGTATGGACGATGGCAGAGAGTCCAGCATCCTATTGTCAAGATATAGTGAACAGTTTCATTGTAAGTCCATCTTTGTCTGGAAACAGAAATGCATACCATACTGCATCCTCACATCTGGATGTTAGTCTCCATTTCACAGCTACTGTACATCCCCTTAAACGAGAAGCCACAAAATCAACATCAGGGAGAAAAAAGAAATTAACAACACCAAGAAGTTAAATAACATGCTACTAAATGCCTAACGTGTACCTGAAGAAATTAAAATCAAGAACCTTTTTGAAGAAAATGATGCTACTGTATGTCATTGAATGATTTAATCAGAAGAAAGTGTTTTGAAGAGCTGAAACTAACCAAAAACATCAAAACCCATGCGATATAGTGTCTGCTGATTTTTGTTGGTGAGGGTGTCTCTTCTAGACAGTAAAGAGATGGGTTTTGTTTTTTTTTTTAAATCCAGTCTACTAATCTATGACGTTTGATTTACCTTAAGCCATTTACATTCAGAGTTTAATATGTATGGGTGGTAGTTTGGTGCTGTCATTTTAGGAATGGGTGTTCATTGGTTTAGTCTTCTGTTGTCATTTTACTGGGATGTTCTTCCCATTTGCCTTTGGTTTTGGTAGGTGCTATTCCTCTTCTCTGTCGAGAACATCTTGAAGTATCATTTGTAGGGCAGGTTTGGAAGAGGCAAATTCTTTTAACTTTTCTTTACTGTGGAAGAATTTTATTTCATTTTCAAAGACAAAAGAAAGCTTTGCTGGATATGTTACCCTAGGCCGACAATGTTTTTCTTTTAGAATCTGGAATATGTCACTCCATTCTCTTCTTGCCTGTAGAGTTTCCTGTGAGAGATCTCCTGTGAGCTTAATTGGCCTTCCTTTATATGTCAATTGATTTTATTCATGTGCACATTTAAGGATCTTTTTCTTATGTTCAATTGAAGAGAGCTTGATAATCATGTGTCTTGGTGAAGATCGCTTTTTTTTTAAAGATTTATTATTATTATTATTATTATTATTATTATTATTATTATTATTGGAAAGGCGGATATACAGAGAGGAGAGACAGAGAGGAAGATCTTCCGTCTGATGATTCACTCCCCAAGTGAGCGCTATGGCCGATGCTATGCCGATCCGAAGCCAGGAGCCTCTTCTGGGTCTCCCACACAGGTGCAGGGTCCCAAAGCTTTGGGCCGTCCCTTGACTGCTTTCCCGGGCCACAGGCAGGGAGCTGGAAGGGAAGTGGGGCTGCCGGGATTAGAACCGGTGCTCATATGGGATCCCGGGCGTGCAATGGGAGGACCTTAACCACTGCGCCACTGTGCCGGGCCTGAAGATCGCTTTTGATCAAGCCTGTTGGGAGTTCTGTGCCCCTCCTGGATCGTGTTTCCCAATTCTTTCTCCAGATTAGGGAAATTTTCCTTTATTTCATTCCTTTATTTCCTTTAAATACATTTGCAAACTTGGCTGCTCTTTCTGCACCTTCTGGGACTCTCATAACTCTTATATTTGGCCTCTTAATAGTGTCTTTCAATTCTTGAATACTTTTATTGGCCTGATCCAGCTCTGCTTCTAGCTTTTTGTTTGCTTCTCCCTGATGACAGGAAATATCTTCCAATTCTGAGATTCTTTCTTCTGCTTGCTTCATTCTATTTTGGAGACGCTCCATTGTGCTTTTAATTTGCTCTACTGTGTTCTTAATTTCTGATATACCAGCCTTGATTTGCTTTACTGCTTCCTTAAATTCTTTGAACTCTTGTATGTGCTTCTCATTGTTGATCAGAAGCTTTCAAATGAGTCTTATGGATTCTGTGTCCCCCATTTTCTCAATGTCTTCCTCATTTAACTCTGAGGTTGGCATGGGGGTTTGCTCCTTTGCAGGGGAGTTTTCAGTAATATTCATTGTGCTTTTGTCTCTTCTTTTGCTCTTGGCCATTGTACTTTTGGTTAGCAGAGTCTTCTCCTTGGGGCAGGTTTCCAAGCTGTGACACCCACAGGTCTACAATGCAATTTTACTTGTTGAAGTTATACACAGCTATTTGCTTGTAGACACTTGTGCCACTACCTTCAGCGAGTTCCAGGTCTGGGTTCTTTTGTTATATTTCCACCGTGGTCTCCGTAGCCCCAGCTCCTGGCTCACCACTCTCCACATCCTGTGATACCGTGCTGAGGCTACACCGTTGTTTCTGCAACCTTTCCCCCACTTCTGGTTGGAGCAGGTCCCAGGATTAGAGAGACACCAGGTGTCCTATATAATTAGGTTGTTGGTGGCGCCGATCTTGTCGGAACCTGTTGGACGTTAGGTCTGGGTGCCACACGGACCTATTTTGACCCTTACGATGCCACAGTCGGTATTATTTTCCTGCGGGACCAGTGCAATCCACTGAGCTCAGTGAGTTCTCGCGAGCTCAGCACATGCGCAGCTCACCGTCCTCTGCTGTCTTAAAGCTATTGCCACAGTGTACAAAATGGCACCTGACATACCACTACAGTTCTTGATCTGCTGGCCATCAGATCTGAGGGCTACCCAGACCTGTCTTGGGTGGAACCTGCAGAATGCCACGTCAATGCAGCTCACTGAGTCAGAAATGAGTTCACTCCCAGCTCAGCGTATGCTCAGTCCTTTCCCTTGCCTTTGCCTCCTAACACGAAATGGCGCCCAGTTCAGCTCTGTGGGGCTGACTGGGCTCTGAAATCCACCCTGTTCTCACACTGCCCGTCTGGGATCTGCTGCTCTCTCTGCTCCTGGTCAAGTCAAACGGACCAGCAGGACGGACAGTTCTTTGTCTGGGTTCACCTCCCAAGCTTCCGGTGAAAGTCCCTTCCCACCTGGTTGCTGGTGGAGTTCCGGGTTCAGATCGCCGTGCTGTAGTATTAGTCACTGCTGTGACTACACCACACTGCTGTGGAGTTCAGATCACCGTTAGCTGAATGCTGCTGGAGTATCAGCCACTGCCACACCACACCATTGTGTCCGCTGCTTTCCTGTGTCTGCCAGTCTCCAGGTACCCCTCTGCTGTTGTTCTGTCCTTTTCTATTTCCTGGAATGTGTCCTCTCTGCTTCATCCTGATTAAATGTTTTTCCGTCCGTTTAAACGTGTCCTTACCCTATTCTGCCATCTTGATTCTCCTTATTCTTTTTTTTAAAGACTTATTTTATTTTTATTACAAAGTTAGATATACAGAGAGGAGGAGAGACAGAGAAGATCTTCCTTCCGATGATTCACTCCCCAAGTGAACGCAACAGCCGGTGCTGTGTCGGTCCGAAGCCAGGATCCAGAAACCTCTTCCAGGTCTCCCACGCGGGTGCAGGGTCCCAAAGCTTTGGGCCGTGCTCATCTGGTTTCCCAGGCCACAGGCAGGGAGCTGGATGGGAAGTGGAGCTGCCGGAATTAGAACCAGTGCCCATATGGGATCCCAGTGTGTTGAAGGCGAGGACTTTAGCCGCTAGGCCACGGCGCTGGGCTCTACTCTTCATTTTGTTTAAGCTTCATGTATGTATTGAAAGGCAGAGTAGCGGAGAAGGGAGAGAAGGCAGAGATGGGATTCAGAGAAAAATCTTGCATACAGCTGTCAGGGCTACGCAGGAAACTGGCTTGGAGGTGGAGTGGGCCTGGAACCAGGCGTTGCTGGTGTGAGATGCAGGTGCCCCAGCGCCTGTCCTTCACTCCCAGGACGGCCTGTGGACTTGTGTCCTTGGCTCTGGAGGCTGCATGGCCTCGGGGTGTACCCTCTCAGCCAGCAGGTCTCCAGCTCCTCAGGGGACCTACCTGCTCCCTGCGCACACACACTGATGGTCGGCTGACAGAGCCCTCACACAAGACGCATCCCCAATGCCCCCGCCCTACCTCCCAGCCTAGACACTTCCCTTGGCGCATTCCCCACATCCCCATTCTGTGCAGGTGGAGAGGTCCCTGTGGGGCCCAGGACAGGACCCCGTGCAGTGTGTGTTCAGAGTTCAGATGGCGAGGGACAGAAGGGAGCCTTGTGGCCGCAGCCGTGCCCAGATCACAGCAGGAGAGGCACTGGGGTACCTGGCTGCCGAGTGCCTTCTGCGGCTGTGCTCTGGGCACGGAGCCTGGCCCTGGTGTCGTCATAGGGAGCAGTGCCATTCTTGACTTTACTGGGAATATTTACAAAGAGGAGACACAGAAAGATTTTCCATCTGGCGGTTCACTCCCCAAGTAGCCACAACAGCCAGAGCTGAGCTCATCCGAAGCCAGGCAGGAGCTTCTTCTGGATCTCCCATGCGGATATAGGGTCCCAAGGCTGGACATGAATTGGCACTGTTATGGATCCTGGCGCTTGAAGAGGGAGGATTAGCCGATTGAACCATTTTGTTGTCCTCCCTCCGCCGCCCCACATGCACGTCTTGCCCAGTTGGGACAGTGAGACCGGGGGCAGGTGCTGGGCTTGTGCTTCTGTGTGTCTTCTGCAGCCCTGCGTGCTCGCCTGTGCGTTTGCGATGGTGACTGGCCCTTCCTGGTGCTGGGGCCAGGCCACCATGGGGGCTGAGCTCAGTGGAGTGTAGGGAACTCAGTATGGCATTACATAGCCCAGGGGGAGGTGGGGGCAGACTTGGTATCTGACCCTCTTGCGTCCTGAAGGATGGCATCAACCCCTCATCACTGGGCCTGAGCTGGGAGACCCTGTGTACGTGGGGTGCTGGTCCGTAGAGCCCTGGCTCCTGGGCGTGCTCACGTGTAGTATGTTTGGAGAAAGCCCAGTGCCCTGGATTTGTTACAGGCTGGGGTTCCAGGGAGTCGGCCTGAGTCCAGGACCACGTGTTTGGAACTGTGTCCCTGCTCAGGAGATCGCCTTCCTGTGCTTTGAGGCCCTGCTGACCACAGCAAGCTGCTGCTCTGGGGAGCGGGAGGCCAGAGGGCCTGGGGACTGGCCTGCTCTTCCTGGAAGTCTTGACAGGGGCACTGTGGCCTAGGGGCCCGGGTACTGGGGGAGGGTGGAACCAGGAGTTGGGTAGTGGTTGGCTGTAGGCTGGGGACTGACCTCTCTCTGGCTCCCGTGGCCCGTATGCAGCTGGCTTCCGCCTCCCCAAAGTGGGGGTGTTGCTGCAGTGGAGCACCCCTGCCCCATGTGCATCTTCTCAGGAGCTTGCCCGAGAAGGACGCCAGACACGGACCAATCCCATGCCTTCCAAGTCCGTGTGCTGCTCCTGCAGCATCCTCCCGAGGCCTAGACCCAGGGGCTGCTCTGTCCTGACACCCTGGGGGACGCCTGGAGTGGTGGGGGGGGGCGTCGGCTAGCTGAGCCTCGTTTTGTGTTTCTGGTGTTTGCTAGACACAGGCTCCAGTCTGTAAGATGGATCTTGATTCCATTGCTGGCTGAGGAGCCCCAGCTCCCAAACTTGCTGTTAGAACTCCACACTGGTCTCTGCTGAGCTCCTGGGAGCCTGCTTGTGAAAAGGGGTTTGCTCTCAAGTTAAAGCTCCTGGTGGGCTCTGGCTAGGGTCCAGCTCTGTGGTGAAGGCGGAGTTTCTCCAACTGCTGTGAGGTGGGCTTGTGGCAGTCCCAGGGGATGTGCCGGGGCCTCTGGGCACCAGCGCTTGCGTGGCTCCCACAGTAGGTCAGAAAGACCCTGCCTGAGGTCGCTGCGTGGGAGAGCAGTACCTTTTGCTGCTGTCTGGCAACCAGAGGCCATGTCTTCCAGAGGCCATGTCAGCTGGGCCCACCTGTGTCTTAGCGGTCCTCGGTCTGTGGCAAGGTCCACTTCCGCTGCCTCTTCTGCCCAGGAAGGACTGGGGTCCTCCTTAGGGCTATCTGGGGTAGAATGTACCCCAAAGGTGTGCCATTTGGTTGGAGGCACAGGTTGTCGTCGTGGTGGCTCTGCTGTTCTCTTCCCGCCCACCCCTACCCCAAGGGCACAGCTTTGGGGGAACCCCAGCAGGGCTTCCTGGAGTACCCAGGAGCCATCCTGCCCTGAGCAGGGTTCCTGCACGCACACAGTATGAGGTCCTGGCTCTGGGAGTGCAGGAGGAAGGACCTCCTTGCACAAGGGAGTCCTTCCCAGCAGATGGGATGGCTGATGTGGTGGTTGGGCTCTGCCACCTCCTCCTTGTGGCTCAGGCCACTCGAATTCACAGCCTCATATCTGGGTCTCGCTCCATACCACCTCTACCCAGGTAGCCTAGCTTTGAAGGAGTCCTAGACCTTTAGAGCCGGGCCATCTCCTTGGTTCAGATGGGAAAAATGGCCTGCCCCCAGAGTGGCAGGGCCGAGACCAGGTCCTCAGGCACAGCCCAGGTGGACCGGCTGGTGAGGTCAGAGCAGAGTCAGGGCTAGCTGCCCTTGCAGCCGCTCTGCCCCCCAGCTGGGCCTGAGATCATCAGGTGAGTGATGCCCAGGGACCCCTGCCCATTTTTTCAGGGTGCTTCCTGCCCTTGTAGGTGAAGTTCCGGCCGGGCTTATACTTTCCTCTAGTAAGCTCGAGGCTGTGCGACTTGTCACCTGTTGGACCCAGTTTTCCCATCTGTTCACAGCAGGCCAGCCGGCCGTGGGGAGGTGGGGGGAGGTGGGCAGCTGTGTGGGCCGGCTGCATTGTTACCAAGGATGTTAAGCAGCTTAGCCAGGGCCACCCGGGTTTCCCTCCCGCTTGTCCTCAGCATTGTTGTGAGGGGTGACCTCTAACTGCCCGAACTGCCTGTCCAGGCTCCTCCATCTTGCCCTCTTCTGACCATCCTGAGATCTTCCTTTCCAGGGGTTTGTTCCTTGATCCTTGCACTGGTGTGGGGACAGAAGCCCTTTGACATTGCTTGGTTGGTGTCCTGGAAGGAGCGGTAGCATCCAGGTGGCTGTGGCGGGATGGAGCCAGGCTGGCCGCTGTGGAGTTGGCTTGGGCTACCCCCTTCCATCAGTGTGTCTGCTCCAGCCCTCTGCTGGTGTGCACTGGGCCCTTCCCGCGTGGGTTGAGGAGGGGCTGGGACACAGTGCTGAGAGCCAGCTGGGAGTCTCCAGCAGGAGGGTCCGTGTCCCTGCTCCTCAGCCTGCACTACTGAGGCAGTAGCCCGGCCTCTGGTGGCACCACGGGGAGGCTGGATGGCTGCCACTGGCCTGCCGCCGGGAGGCTTGGTCTGAGGGGGCCCCGAGCGTCACTGGACGCCCATTGGTGACCTACTGTGTTTTCTTTTCAGGACCAGACTAGATGCTCCCCGGCTGGAAACCAAGTCCCTGAGCAGCTCCGCATTGCCACCTAGCTACATCTCGGACCGCCTGTCAGGAAACCACAGGGACCCCTCTCTGAAGCCCAAGCGATCCCACCGCAAGGCAGACCCAGACGCAGCCCACAGGTACGTGGGCCTGGCTGCAGGGGGAGGAGAGCAGGGGCCGGCCCTTGAGGCTGGGTCCCCTGCGTGGATGGGACCCCTTGTCTCGTTCCTGGTGAGTGCCTTTGTCCCACCAGAAAAGGAGTCAGGCAGAAAGCCTGACAGGTGAGAATGTGTCGCGGCTCTCAAGGAACTCACCCAGGCCAGCAGCTCTCCCAGGTGTTGGCGCGGGTGATAGGAGGGTGTCTCGGGACTGGACAAGTGTTGAACCAAGGGCCATGTTCAGAAGTAGTGGAAGGTTCTGAGATAGTTCATGTTTGAGACAACACCGTGGATGGAAAGGACGTGTGGGCAGAGACAGCGGAGGCAGGAAGAGGGCAGGGCTGGCCTTGTGGGCAGAGAAGAGTGGAGTGGTGTTGGCTGTCACGGAACTGCCAAGCTGTGGGGACATGGGGAGCGTTGGGAAGTGTTGGGGGCTTGTGCAGGGTCTTGCTGATGGAATAGGGCAGGGGCCTTCTGTCACAGCCTCAGCGGGCATCCTGGGAGCCAGGCAGATCGCAAGGGGGGTCACTGGGGAGTGTGCCAGAGGACTAGGCTGGCTGCTGGCCTTCCTGCCAGCTGCCCGGTCCTAGCTCTGTCTCCCTGCAGGCCGCGGATCCTGGAGATGGACAAAGAGGAGAACCGCCGCTCGGTGCTGCTGCCCACGCACCGGCGGAGGGGCAGCTTCAGCTCCGAGAACTACTGGCGCCAGTCCTACGAGTCCGCGGAAGACTGCTCGGAGGCAGCGGGCAGCCCTGCCCGCAAGGTGAAGATGCGGAGGCACTGAGGCCCGCCGCCTCCCTGGGAACTCTGGCTCATCCTCACCAAGCTGCCCCTTTGTGTTGAGGGTTTGCTTTATGTTTCTGTTGGTTTTTTTTCCTTCCTTGATCCTATATATTGTTTCCTTGGTTTGTTGCCTGTGAAGGCTGACAGAGCGGAAAGGCCCAGGAGCTGGGCGCTCGTGTTCTTGATTTTCCTCCTTGGCAGAAAGGCTGTTGGTGTGTGTAGGGGATGGAGGCTCGCTGCGCCGGGGGAGCCAGCAGAGGTGTAGGGGCTGTGTCAAACTGGGTTTATTTAAAAGAAACAATGTTTTGGTTCAGAAAATCCTTGTTTTGCTTTCATTGTAAATCTGCAGTTTCTAAAACAGTTGCTCCTCCTGCCCACTCCGTTGTTCCCTGCGCCGGGTGGAGGTGCCCGGGGTGCCCGCCGTCCCCTCCCCTCGCTGCACTCAGGCCCCGGAAGCTCACACACACGCTCTCTCCTCCTGCCATGGCAGAGCTGTTCAGGTTGGCAGGCTGGGGGTGCCCAGTGCCTGCTGCCTGCCCGCGGTCCTCGGGCCGCTCCTCTGCGGCACGTGCGTGCGGTTGTACAGTTAGGGTTGCCACATCGGGTCAGTTTTAGGAGTCGTTTTCTAGCTAGAAAAGACGCGTGTCCTTCCAAGTCTAGCATTTGGGATATGGGAAATTGTTGTGGTGTGTGGTAGGGCTTTGTTTCGAGGGGTTTTTGTTTTTGTTTTGTTTTGTTTTTTCTTTGGTCTCCTTTGCCTTCTCTCTCTCTCTCCTACTCTGGCCAGCTTGGGCCTTGCCCCCCCTTCATCCCTCTCGAAAGGGGCCTGTTCTGCCTGCCTGCCTGCAGCCAGCACAGGGCGATCGCCCAGGCCTGCGAGCGGGGTCGGTGCCCCTTCGCCTCAGGGGCGTGGGAGCTGGGGAGCGGGCTTAGAGAAATAACAGAAGGAAAAAAAACAAGTGCTAGTTCCTCCCACTTAGATCTGCGCAGGTGCAAGGCTTTGCTCTTCCGGATTCATGAGGGACATTTTGGCAGCCGGAGCGGGGACCCTCCTGGCAGCCGGGGGCTCGGCACGGAGGTGGCAGAGTTCCGGGGCAGCCACCCTCACGGAGCCCCTGTCCCGGGGGCCAGAACTCCTTTGCCAGCGTGGATTCCTCATGTCAGGACTGCATCACTAAAGCAGTTGCAGTTTTATTTTTTTTACAGCTTTTTTCCCAAAAAAAAAAAAAAAAAAAAAAAAAAAGGTTTGTAGTTGTGTGTGCAGCACTTTGCCCTGATATGTGTGCTCTACAATAAAAACCAAATCTAATATATTTTGAAACGGTTGTCTGGTGCTGTTGTCAAAGCAGGCTTGCGCTGAGTGCTTCCACGCTCTGGGTTTTTCCTCAGTTTTATCAGTGCCCACCAGCCACCCCCGTGGGTGGTTGAAGCTGGACTTGCCCACTGCTCTGTGTCCACTCCCAGGAGGGCGGGGTTCGTGAGCCCAAAGACCGCTCTCTGCTGACTTCTAGAAGCGTCTCTCCCTGGGCGTGGCCGTAAGGTTCAGCGCCAGAGATGGAAACTTGGGCACGGACTCAACGTGGATGTGCGAGTGGTTGCGCTCAGTAAACAAATCCTTGCTCATCGGCCCAGCCCTCCCGGGGATCCCCACAGAGAGCACAGCAGCTGGGCCCCGCTCTCGGAGCGGACAGCCTGGAGCAGGCTTCTTGAGAGGGGTGAGGGCTTGAGTCCCTCCGCCTCTGTGACCCGCGCATAGGACCCAGACAACGGCTTGGGCCTGGGATCTGCCCCACTGTGTCCTGGCGCTCAGAGGCAGTCTGCTTGGCTGCGTTCCTGCTGTGGGAACCCGCACAAGTTGCTGAAGTGCGTGCTGTGTGACCGAGCAGGCTTGGGCCTGGCATGGGCTCGCTGGCCCAGTGGGCCTGCAGGGTCATCCCTCGGCTGGGCGGGCAGTAGAGCCGGTGCCCTGGAGGGGAGATGGACACCACCTGAGTGTTGGCCACACTGGCTGCTGCGGTGGAGTTGGGCACCCCATCCTGGGCCTAGCCAGTTGTTCCTGGGGCACAGGACAGGGCTCAGTGAATGGCTGTGGGACCTTGGCAACACTGCTTTTATGGCCGTGACAAAGTCAGGCCCACGCTTTGGGCCCAGCACTTCCCGCCCCGTGACTGGCTTTGGCCTGTCCACCCATAGCATGGCTCTGTGGCGCCCAGCTGTGTGAGCCCTCACTGAAGCCAGCTGTAGCTGCCAACTCCATGGCCACCTGGTCGAGAGCCTGCTCCTGCACCCCTGGCTCGTGGAGAAGACGGGCCCAGCTCACTCATCTGGGCAACATCGGAGCCTCTTCACTGTGCCAGCCTCAGCGCTGCGATGCAGACAGTCTGAAAGGCAGGCGTGTCACTGTGAAGGGAGTGCTGGGGCTGGCGTCAGGTGGCGGGTGAGACATGGCCTGGGGAGTCTGTGTTCCCTCGTTGGGCTGCAGCCTGGCACAGTCCTGGCTGGCTGTTAGCAAGCATCCCGAAAGTTATCTTGCAGGTGGAAGATCTGTCTCCATTCTAGGTATCCTGTCTCTCCATAGGATTGGATATAGGGTCCAGCAGGGTTTATTCACAGTAGTCTGCTCTTAAAGATTCGTAAAGGGGATTCAACGCAGTAGCCTAGTGGCTGAAGTCCTCACCGTGTGCACCAGGATCCCATATAGGCACTGGTTAGTGTCCCAGCTGCCCCGCTTCCCATCCAGCTCCCTGCCTGTGGCCTGGGAAAGCAGTGAAGGACGGCCCAAAGCCTTGGGACCCTGCACCCACGTGGGAGACCCGGAAGAGGCTCCTGGCTCCTGGTGTCGGATCTGCTTAGCTCCAGCTGACTTTCCAATAAAAATCTTCAAAAATCGTTCCTCATGCCTCCTGAGACTCCTGGTCCCGGGAGGTGACATCCACAGGTGCCAGTAGTTGGGACCTGATTGCTTTGGGAGCGGAGACACGGCCTACTGCTGCCCTGCTGTTTCTCCCCTGGTGACCCCACTGTCACGTCTGATAATCCTCGAAGATGGGGAGCTCGCCACCTCGGCTCGTCTCCGCCATGCCTGCCAGTGAACGCCGGACGTGTTGGTGAGTGTGGCGTCATGGGCAGGCGTGGCAGCGTGGGTGGGGAGTGCGGCCATGCGTCACAATGCCGTATTGATTCCATTGTGGAAGTGCTACTGTTCTATTGAGTTAAATTTGCTATTTAACTTCACCCGCTTCCCACAGCTACTTTCTTTCTTTTTATTGGAAAGTCAGAAACACAGAGAGCAGGAGAGACAGAGAGAAAGATCTTCCATGCGATGATTCACTCCCCAAGTGACCGCAATGGCTGGTGCTGAGCCAATCCGAAGCCAGTAGCCAGGAGCTCTTCCGGGTCTCCCACGCGGGTGCAGGGTCCCAAGGCTTTGGTTCGTCCTCGACTGCTTTCCCAGGCCACAAGCAGCGAGCTGGGTGGGAAGGGGAGTTGCCGGGATTAGAACCGGTGCCCATATGGGATCCCGGCACTACAGGCCGAGGATGAGCCTGTTGAGCCTCGTGCCAGACCCTCCTGTATATAGTGTTTTAATCCTGATGGGTTTATCCAGTGCCTGAATAACAGTTCTGAGATTTGCCAGCTTGGCTTTAGCGGCCATAGGTTTCCCTGGGAAGACCCAGACCCAGGAGAGGCAAAGCCGAATGGGCATCTGTGTGGGCATCAGTGCCACTGCTGCTGAGGGGCTGCCTGTCGGCGGGGCGGGGCCTGCTGAGAGAAGGATGGCCGGGGCGGGGCCTGCAGAGGGAGGGACGGGCAGGGGCGGGGCCTGCTGAGGGGCTGCCTGTCGGCGGGGCGGGGCCTGCTGAGAGAGGAATGGCTGGGGCGGGGCCTGCTGAGAGAAGGATGGCCGGGGGCGGGACCTGCAGAGGGATGGACGGCCGGGGCGGGGCCTGCTGGGGGGGGACGGCGCAGGGGGCGGGGCCTGCGAAGAGAGGGATGGGCGGGGCGGGGCCCGCTGACGGACGGGCGGGGGCGGGGCCTGAGGCTGCCATGCTGCAGTTCAGTTCCCCTTCCCGTCCACGGTGGGGCAGCAGCGCCCGCGCCCCGTGCCTGGGGCTGTGGGTCAGTGCAGGGTCGCTCAGCTGCCTCCCTCCTTGGATCCCTGGCTCACTTCCACCACTCCTGGCCTCTCAGGCTCCTTTTTAAGGTTTCTTTATTTGATAAGCAGAGAGCTATTTTCTGTCCGGGAGTTCACTCCTGCAAGTGGCCCTCATAGCTGGAACTGCGCCAGGTAATGGCAGTAGCCTGGAACTCAAGCCACACTGCTTCCCCGGGCCAGTCAGCAGGAAGCTGGAGCAGAAGCGGAGCAGCCTTCCTTGCTTTCAGTCTCTTTATGAAATGGGCAGAGGATGGCACAGCAGGTTAAGCTATTGCTTGGGATGCCCCATATTCCGTATCAAAGTTCTGGTTACTCGGCTTCCACTCAAGCTTCCTGTCGCTGTGCCTCGCCTGTGAGTTAATGGACAAGCTGACCCACGGCTAACTACTGCAAGCATTTGGGGAAAGAACCTAAAGCTCGCTCCGACTGTCCCTGTGTGTCTCTCTGTTACTTGATCCTTGAAATAAATGAGCAAGTCTTTAAAATGGGCACAAGGCACTGGTGTTGTGGCTTATCGCGCTAAGCCTCTGGCTGCAATGCCGGGATCCCATGTGGATGCTGGTGTGTATTCCCGCTGCTCTACCTCCAATCCAGGTCCCTGCTTATGACCTGGGAAAGCAGCAAAGGACGGCCCAAAGCCTTGGGACCCTGTGGCCATGTGGGAGACCCAGAAGAAGCTCCTGGCTCCTGGTTTCGGATTGGTGCAGCTCTGGCCTTTGCAGCCACTGGGGGAGTGAACCAACAGATGGAAGCCCTTCCTCTCTGTCTCTCCTCCTCTCTATATATCTGACTTTCCAATATAAATAAAATAAATATTTATAAAAATCAGCATAGGATGAAGGGGATGGATGGCCAAGTTTTCTAGCACAGACTGTTTGGTGGGAACTAATATTTTAATATATGTGTGTGTGTTTTGCTTGTTTTTATTTTTGAAAGAATTAGACCTTGCATCTGCTGGTTCACTCCCTAAATGGTTGTGATGTCCAGGGTGGGGCCAGGCCGAAACCAGGAGCTTCTTCTAGCTCTCCCACAGGGGTACAGGGGCCTCAGCACTTGGGCTGCGCTCTGCTGCTGTCCTCGGACACATGAGCAGGGAGCTGGCTGTGAAGTGGAACAGCCGGGACTTGAACGCTAGCCAGCACTGCCGTGGTAGCTTCCCTTGCTGCAGGGCGGTGCTGGTCCCTAGCCGTGCATGTTAATGGACATTTTGCAAGTGAGAACACTGAGGCCCATTGAGGTGGTGGGGCACAGAAGCAGGACTGCTAAAAGTCCCTGTGCAGGGCAGGGCGAGAGGTGTCCCCTTTCGGGAAGGCTCGTCGGGAGGTCGGGGGGTGGATATCCTTCACCTGTGACCTGAGCCGCAGCTTCCCTCCATTTCAGGATGCCGGTGGACTAGCTCAGCCCCTCTCCTGCCCCCGCCCAACCTATGGGCTCCCTCCTCCAGGCCCCACGCGGGACACGTGCCCTTTGCCTGGGCTCTCTGGTTGGCTCCGGTCCTGCTCTCTGTCCCGGCTCCCCAGGGGTGGCACCAGACTCCCCAGCCACACCCTCTTCTTTCCGCTAAAGCAGCTGCCCATAACCTCCCCCAGGAACCTTTTTCCCTTGTGACTCACTAGCTTGCCCTTCCACCCTCTTCCCTCTGCAGGGAAGCGATCAGGTGACCTGGGGCAACTCACTTCTGTTTTTTTGTTTTGTTTTGCATTAAAGATTTATTTAATCGGAAAGGCAGATCAGATTTATACAGAGACAAAGCTCTTCCATCCACTGGTTCACTTCCCAAGTGGCTGTAATGACTGTGGCTGAGCTGGCCAGGAGCCAGGAGCTTCTTCTGGGTCTCCCACGCGGGTGCAGGGTCCCAAGGCTTTGGGCCGTCCTCCACTGCTTTCCCAGGCCACATGCAGGGAGATAGATGGGAAGTGGAGCAGCTGGAATACAAACCAGCGCCCATATGTTATTCCTGCGTTTGCAAGGTGAGGATTTAACTACTGAGCCATCAAGCTGGACCTTGATTTTACTGTCTATAAAAATGCAACTGGGTCCCAATGCGGTGGCCTAGCAGCTAATGTCCTTTCCTTGAACACACCAGGATCAATGGGCATATGGGCACCGGTTCTAATCCCGGCAGCTCCACTTCCCATCCAGCTCCCTGCTTGTGGT